TCATATGCCCTACATTGTCCTCATGGTGTCATAATCATCGCTAGCGTCGTCGTATTTATCGGGTGTGTCATCTTCACTGCGATGCATCACAAATCAAATAAAATCTTCTTTGTCGTCATCGGTATCATCATCGCAAGCGCTTTAAAGGCTTTGTATTGTACTAGTATTGTTTTCAAAACAATATTTTAGGACATTTTATTCGAGAAAAAGCCCCAATTGAATGAGCTATTACAAAAAGATTTAAAACCCAATGACCGATAGAAGCGGAGAAAATGGGATTCAAACACAGTGGTTATAAATGAATGGTGCACCAGTGCGTCTATGGCCTGCTAAGGGTAACAATCATGATTGTGTTCTAAACATCACCAGAAACCGCTCTCGCTGAGTAAAGTAAGAGCAAGTAAGGTCACATGGTCAGTACCAGCTAATCATCTAGAATTGTTTGACAGTTGAATTACAGTATTACTACAAAAAAAAATTTTAAATGAGAAAGTTTGTATAAGTTGCATATTTTGGCAATGGTTCTAGTATAAAGCCATGTAGTGATATTGAAAAGATGTATAGAAATATTACTGTAGATATCACAATGGTACTGTACCCCTGAATAACAGAATGTTACAAATTATACAAGAACAAAGTATAAAGGTACATTATTGTAAGCGAGAATACTGTACAACTTTCCTACAAAATCATTAGAGTATAATAATATCAGAGAAACATGGATAAATAAAATTATTTAAAAAAAAAAGACTTAAAGCTTGATTGTATTTGGTTTGAATATTATCTTAAAAACACAATTTTGTATAAGTCTGTATGACAGGCCTAAGCTTTAGTTATCAGTTCTGCACCAGCCAAGTGAAAAAAAGTAAAGGAGGTTATCCATAACATAAGCCTATACAGGTATTGTCCCTTCTAGTGTTGCTATTCTGTGGGTTAAAATACTCAAGATGTGGTCTTCATCCATAACTTTATATATTAGTGTCTCTTCGAGAGATGTTGTCCTGTGGGTTGAAAGTCATGATGACGGTAGGCCACATTATCTACACTGAGAGAACTAGAGCTGTATGATACCCTTATTATTTGTATCAATTAATGTAACATATCGGACTAAAATGTGTAGCTTTAACATAAATATGTGCAGGCCGATAGTTGTGAGGATGTCCTCAAATCCATAGCTTTACCCTTATTATGTGTATAGCTATGTATAACATATCAGCCTCAAATGTGTAGCTTTAACATAAATATGTGTAGGTTGATAGTTGAGGATGTCCTCAAATCTATAGCTTTTCCCTTATTATGTGTATAGCTCGCTATGTATAACATGTCGACACCCTCGAATATATAACTACCATAAATATGTGTAGGCCTATAGATGAGAGTACTTGTTCTCTATTATAGCTTTATCATAATTCTCACATAAAAAGATATAAGATAGGCTTATCATATAGTATACAATTGATAACCATACTAGAATAACAGAATGTTAGAAACTATACAAGAACAAAGAATAAACATAACATGTGAGAATGTGCTAGAATTTTTACTACAAAAAATGAGAAAATTTGTACAAGTTGCATATATTGGCATTATGGTTCTAGTATAAAGCCATGTCATAATATTGAAAAGATGTATAGAAATATTACTGTCAATACCACTATGGTACCCTTGAATAACAGAATGTTACAAATTATAAAGAACAATGTATAAGGGTACATTATTATAAGAGAGAATATGTACAACTTTCCTACAAATTATTAGAGTATGATATTATCAAAGAAACATGGATGAATAAAATTATTAAAAAAGAGTAAAAACTTGATTGTATTGTATTTGGTTTGAATGTCATCTTAAAAACATAATTTTGTATACTGTATGATAGGCCTAAGCTTATATCTTATAAGTTCTTATAGCTTCTACATAAATATGTATTGGCTTCATAATTGTGAGGATGGCCTCAAATCTTTAGTTTTATCCTTATTATGTGTATAGCTATGTATAACATATCAGGCTGAAATATATAGCTTTGCCATAAATATGTGTAGGCCGGTAGTTGTGGGGATGTCCTCAAATATTTAGCTTTACTATAATTATGAGTATAGCTACAGTATCTATAACTTGTGAGGAAATGTCCTCTAATATATAGCTTCAACATTATTGGTAGTATACAGGAAGCTATGTAAAACATGTGAGGAAATGTCATCTCATGATAGCTTTAACATTATTGGTAGTATAGCTACAGTATAACATGTGAGGACGTCCTCTAATATATAGCTTTAACATTATTGGTAGTATAGCTACAGTATAACATGTGAGGACATGTCCTCTAATATATAGCTTTAACATTATTGGTAGTA